TAAAAAGAAAATTACACGGTGGCTTGAAATTACACGGTGGCTTGAGTGGTAAAAACAATATTTTACGAACGAAAATTCATATCTTCGCGCCGCCGTGTAATATCCTCTATATATGTAGTTTTTAATTAAAAATACTGTGTTCGTAATCAGGCATGATGAATATAAAAACTTTATAGTTTTTAATTGTTTTTTGGTTTGGCTGAAGGGCAAGTAGGAATTAATGAACAGCATCATTTACAGGCAGAGATAACAAATGGATATCCGGCCAATTGTTGTTTAAACCGGGAACCTGAAAAGGCCCTTTTACCGCAAATGATCGGAAGTAAGATGTAAACTGATGAAATAAATAAATGTGAGTTTTCCGATAGTGTGTGAATACTGGCCTGAAAGAAAACAAACTTGAGAAATTGCTTCCAATGACACTCGGCACCTGTCGCGTATTGCATTGTTAAGTGGAAATTCATGAAGTTGTTTGGTGTATAGCGCGGTTGTCGGCCAATATATCTTCGGTTTTAATAACTAAAAAGGACATGTTCTTCCCCAACAACGAATGAATACATAGCAATAATCAAAGTGTCACATATCCCTTGTTTTCTAAGATTGTTTGACCACCCAGATCACGGAAGCGAAGGTGCGAGCGCCATCTTTTCCTTCTCTTGCACAATATATACTCGCCCACACACACACACACCGTTTAAGGGGACGGTATACCTGAATTCCAATGAAATTTTAAGAGGTTTAAAGAAGGGATAGAATAAAGAAAATGATTTTTTGAACACCAACAGACAGTTGATACCCACGCGGGTGCTATTGCGTGGTTATCAACTGTCTGTTGGTGTCCATCTACTAATTTTTAACTTCAAATTCTAATTTTAAAACTACATTAAATCTTCAATATTTCTTATTTCCATAAATTTTACGGCTCCTTTGAGAAAAACTATTTCCTCCCAAATTAAACATGCCCAAAAATCACACAAAAATTTACAAAACACCCCATAACATAGATCCGTGTAATGAGCGAAGAGTTTTTGGATTGCTTGAAACGTGAACGAGATATTTCCATCAAACCCATGTTAAGTGGCGGAAAAATGGCATTCAGGTATACCCCGCTTTAAGCGCTCTGCGACGATCTTTGTCGACTATCTGTAACGACCATCTTGTCGACGATCTTAGTCGACAAAACTGACAGACGAGTCCGTTGCAAAGAACGTGCTCGATATGACGTATTTTTAAGACAACGTATTCGTTATTTGGATAGTACTCGTTGTACACGTTGTTGTCAACGATCCCCATATGCGCCTTAGAAATAAAACAACACCCGTCCCCATACAAGGTAGTTAAAATGATTGAATGAGAAAATGAAGGCAGTTTCAGCAAAACTAAACTAAGCTAGGTTTTTATTTTTGTCAAAAATAAAAGTTCGTTTGAGAAATGAAACGATGAAATTTTGAAAATCAAACCGCGACATTTTGGAAATCAAAATATCACGCGAGAAATCAAAAATCACACAAAATAAATCAAACCGCAAAAATTTGGAAATCAAAACATCTCAGTCTCAAGAAATCAAAAATCACACAAAATAAATCAAAATTCGCACAAAATAAATCAAACCGCGACATTTTGGAAATCAAAATATCACTCGAGAAATCACCGTAGAGGAGGCCATTTGAATTGGAGCGATGACGAGTTCAAAATGTACAGTGTTGTCATATTTCCGTAAAATTGGATTTCTGAAATATTCACGCACTTTAAACTAAAGATACCTGACTGGGGATTTTACTGCTCAAATTTTAGAGTTGTCGTTGTGTCGAGAGGTGTACAGTTGTGTCTCACACTTAATAAATCAAAAATGACACAAAATAAATCAAAAGCGATAAATTTTCTAGTGATACTCCTCGAACACCGTACTCCTCCTTTTCATTTTCTTTTTTTTTTACATTGCTGTTTTTTTTCTATTGGCTCTGAACACCGGTTTTGTCCACAAATTCAAACTGAAAAAGATGCCACAATATAGGCGAACATTTTTAGAGTTTCCAATTTTGACGGTTTATTCTAACTACAAAAATAAGAAAAGTAAAGCTAAACACACCTTGGCTGCGAAAAGGGAATTCGAATAATATTTAATTTAATGACTCGAAGACATTTTTAAATTGGCCGACAAAATAATACTGCAATTTGTTTTAAAAATAGCAAGGCTGATCGAACAGCTGAAAATGTAATATATTTAATTTGGCCCAATATTTCGGTTGGTTTTGGCCATCTGAAGTATTGGGCCAAATTAAATATTCCATTTTCAGCTGTTCGGTCAGCCTTGCTATTTTTTTAAAAAGTTTGTTTATTGTAATAAGTACATTGCTGATCCTGATCTACATCAAGATCCGGCTACAATTTGGTCCTGTTTTTTAAGTGGTCACTGGTAAAATAATACTGCGTTAATTTACTGGAGAAAATGTTAAGTGCTCGTTATATATTAATGTTTCCGGATTCAGTGCAGCATCGTTCCACTAAAACGAACCAGATAACAAACCCTCTGGATTTAACGAACAACGAGCTACAATAAAAACCCGCGTATAACTGAAAACCCCTATTTTCCAAGAAATGGCTCTTTATATTTGTATAATTTACTGTGCAAAACTCGCGCTGTGATTGGTCTAGAACTGTTATCTATTAGAGTACAGACGGACGAATGACGTCACGAAGGCGGGAAAACACGCGCGGGCGCCCTGCTCCACAAATCCTTCGCATCGCCGTCTCAAAACAGATAAAACTTTTCATCAAATTGGAAATATTCCGAAGGAAATTCAATGTAGATCAATTAATACGAACTTTAAATCGGCTGTTCAAGCTTGGCTCAGTAGAACTTGGAGGCAAATATGATGAACTTTTAGCTCATTGTGAACAGAATCCGAGAAAAGAGAGCGGGATTATCGTTCGCCGGATTGTTTTTCCTCATATCAGGACGAAATAAAGGTTAGTTTCTAAATATCTGTTTTTCGAAACATTCGCTGAGTTGAGCTGTAGTTTATTTTAAGCCGTTTAGTTTTCACAAAGTTTTATTTGGGTACATGAAAACACTCAAACTGTTGACATAATTTTTATCGGCTTCTTTAGCGTACATTCAAGTGAAGCGAATATCTCCGAAATTAATTATATAAACCAAATAGATTCCATGTTGCTGTGCGTCTGTTCAGTAATAGATCACAGAAGACGTCAAAATGTGGTAAGAACAAAAAAGTGGCACACGAGGCGTAGCCGAGTGTGTCACTTAGGCTGTGTCAATCAGGCTGTTTAGGTTCTTAAATAGATTCTTATTTTTGATAGGGTACATATTGCTTGTTGCTGGCCATAAAAGTAATTTAACATGGGCGTATCCTCTTAATTCTATGTTATAAAGTAAAACATTGATCTTCAGCATTAATTATTAACAAATTAGTCCCTGGTAAGACAAGAAAGCCTAAAGCTTGTAGAATAATCCAAATTTATTATGTTTGTGATTGGGCAGTTTATGGATCTCCAAAGCACATTTTGATAAGAAATAAAAAAACAAGACTTTTTGCCTGAAAATATATTTAATTTTATTTGTTCCGAGGAGCGAACGAACAGATAAATTCCAGGGACAAATATAAGTAAGTTATTACGTTTATTATATCTTGAAATATCTCTGTTTATTCGCGAATTTATCCCGTTATTTTTTTCTTTAATTTTGTATTTTTATTTTATTGAAAAAACAAAAAAACAAATTGGTAATAAAGGCCAGTACTTCCCACCGAGAGTGAAAAAAATCAATTTCTTTTTATTTGACTAAATTGAAGTTAAGTATTTTTCCTAACATTTACAGAAACTTTTTTAAAAAATCTTGAAAAGCGCGCAAATTATTTAGGAAAAACTATTTTCAAATACAAATTAATAATTCACAAAGGTGTCATAATCCGCTCCGTGGACTCCTTTGGGGAATTTTCGCGGCAAAGGGCTTTATCCGAGAGCTTGTATTTATCTCACGTAAAAGTTGTGTTATGCGCTCAAATGGTAAAGTCTAAAACTGAAAAAAAAGTCCTTGAGAAAAAGCCAGGATGAAAAAGGCCCGAAGTAGAAAAACAAGAACGCTTTTTAATACTCAAGAAAGGAAAACAAACCTAGCGGAATTGAAAGTGACAAAGGATCTTGGTTTGGCCAACAATTCGAAACGAGCGACGCCAAATACTGGAGCATTGTCGATCAAAACTACAGCTCGCTGGCCGAGTCAAACCGAAATTTATCAAACATAAGATTAAAAACGTAGTTTCCTTTCATTTTAAAGTCTTGTGTATCTGTCTTGTTATAAAACACGAACGATCGCCTCGTCTCGTAATTTACAAATCAAGGTAAACCTACCCGAGATATCTCATTTCTGTTATTAGGCCTGACTATTTTTGCCACGGTTTTTTCCTTTGCCTTTGGCTACTTTCCTCATTTTGCGGATAAATGCTCTTTCAGTTGAGCGTATGCCACAGCAAAATATAAAACGTGACTGCAGTGAGATACTTTTCCCGGAAAATTCTGTTCCATTGTAGTTGACGCCACGGGATCCTGTTTCTTGATTGGCTCGCGGTGTCATGAGGCGATATAATCTCCTCTGAAGGCGCGTTTTGTTTACGAATCTTTATGAGCTGAAATCTCACGTTTGATTTTGGGAAGAATATATCATATTTGGCCAAAACATTACAGGGATAATGACGAACAAAACCGTGTCAGGAAATTTTGATATTTCAAATATTTTTCCCGTGGCGACCATTTACGCAACACATCTCGCATATTTTTAGCCACTCCAACTTTGGACAAGGATATCTAAATAGCCAATCAGAATTTCTAAAAAGCCTGGCACGGTTTTGTTGATTGATTGATGCCTTGTGGATAACACTGTGCAGGTCTTTCAGTGATCATATATTCATATACGGTATTCATCATCAAATTCATTCCTAACACGGGTGTATAAACTCACACTTGACCTGCTCCCCATGTGTGGCTTCACAGCTCAGTTGGTAGAGCATCGGACTAGTAACGCGGAGGTCATGGTTAAAATCTCATTGAAGCCTGAACTTTTTTTGCATTGCAATTGCAAAAATTGCATTCACAACTGCGATGATCACTTATTCGTTTAATTTCATCATATATATGATGATTTCATTCATATACAGTAAAAACCCGCAAGTAAGAACCAGCATTTTACTAAGTTAGCCTGAACAGGTTCTTACATAAATGGTAATTAGGACAAATTTAGGCTATTTAGGTTCTTAAATAGGTTCTTATTTTCTGAAGAAAAAATTACATTGTAGCTAATATAATTTAGTGGTATTCAGTCTATTTCTTATATAAAATCTGCATACCAAGTAAGTATTTATGTAAAAATGACTATAATAAGAACAATTGACGCACTGATCACATGAATTTTCATGAATTCCAAAATGTTGACCTATCTTATTTGCCCAAGTGTACCGATTTTTTTATATAGATTTTAGAAAATAAGAACCTGTTTCAAATTTTAGGCTAAACAGGTTCTTGTATAGAGGGGGTCTAACTGGCAAATTTTAGCCTAACAGGTTCTTAAAAACTAGGTTCTTACTTGCGGGTTTTTACTGTATTCATCATCAAAGTCATTGTTGTTGTTGTTGTTGTTCAGTTGTTTGTTGTTGTTATTATTCTGAGACCAAACAAAGGGAGCAAGAACAAGATGGATCATAATTAACTATCAGTTGGTTATTAAATAATCACAGGAGCCCATCACTAGGAGCGAGCAACTGGACTGAATTCGTGTCACAGCGTTTTTACAGACCAGGTTATTTTTAGATTCGCTTTTCCCGCGAATTCGTATTCCCGCCAGACAATTAAACGTTTTTCCTTTGTAATCATTAATTGGCGTTACCGCGTAACAAAGGCCGCACTGATTAGGTCGCCATCTTTTTATTTTATTTTATTTCATTTCATATTACACATGGGACCAGAAACACATTTTCCCGGGAAAAAGGAATCTAAAAATAAACCGGTCTGTAAAAACGCTGTGACATAGGCGTAGTGTCGGAGTTGCTCGCTCCGGCTAATGGGCTCCTGATAATCATGATTTCTCAGAGTGCGAGTGGGAGAATTCTTTATATATGCGGCAATTTGATTGGTTCCGAGAGTGTGGAAATTCCCGCCCTACGTAAACACCTCCTCAAGCGGCAATCCTTAAGTTCACGATGGGTGTCCATCTATCGATTATGAACTTCTAATTGTAAATCTTCATTGAATGTCCAATTTTCTCAATTTGTGTCAAATCCGCTAATCCCTCATCCCTTTTCTCCTTCTTTATAATCACATAAAAAAATTAACATTTTATGGGATGAGACCTTTCACTGCAAGTCTCTGACGGATTTTTTTGATTGCATGAAGCCGCGGCAAAACGATATGAAAGAATAGCGCCTAAACGTATGAAAAAAATAGCATACCTCCCCCTTAAATTTTCCTCTCAAAATATAAATTGTTTCTCTCCTAACGTTCTTAAGTTAAAATTAGCAATGGAATTAAAGGCCTTGTAATAATAAATTATTAATTTCATTTTATCAACAAAATCAAGTCAGAGCTAGGTACTTTGCTATTGTTGTTTGTACTTCGAAATATATTTTACACCAATCCACCGTATGGAAAAAGATGGCGGCTGAACATTTTACCACAATACCATGCGAACCTAACATAGCCAATAGGCACATAGAAAGCCATATTTTTTTGCGAAATTCGTCCCTGTACTAACAACATTGTGTATGCTAGGTTTGACTGAAGTTTTTAGAACTTTTCTGTGCGTTTTTATGAGCATTTTTAGGGTTTTCGTGAGTTATGGGTAAATGTACCAGTCGCCATCTTTTTCGGCACGGTGGATTGCGGCAAAAATACAAGTCGGCCGTTTTACCCTCCACTACCGTCTGTTTAAAGGAGCTACGTCACGGTTGGCGTACTTTGAAAAAATGGGCCAACTTTTTCAAGATCACCATTCGCAATCCGTCTTAATCTTCTCCATCCTCGACCATCCCTGTTCTTGTTTGGTTTATTATTAACTCTTTGGTGCTTTTCTATCTTTGAAAACTATTATTTTGAGGCTTTCTTTAGTTTGAAGGTGATTTTGCACTTCAATAAAATGACTTAAAATATCGGCTCCTTTAAAAGCCTTTTTTTTCTCTCTAATTTACCCCCATACCAAAATCCGTTATTCAACCTCATTCAAGAAAACACGATTCTTAACTTACCTCTCGTAATATTGTGCCGTGAATAAGCTGTACCGTTCACTTTGGAATCATCTGTTCGCGAATTCAAACAAAGCTTAGTTTGATGAATACAAATATATACAGGTAAGAGCTTTGTCGTTATCCCCCTATTCCTGGCGTGGGGAGATCACGATTGTCCATAAAACCAGGATACGACCTATAAAGTGATGCGTACAGTACCGCTGCCCCTCTATAATGGCTTTGATTGCCGTTTTGGTATCATTTTGACTACTTTCTTACACGTTTCGCATTCTCACTTGAAGCCGGTGGGCGAGAAATGTGCGTGGCAAGTGTAGATTTCCTACCGGCGGGATATTTTCCCGCTTCGCCTCCGTCTCCAACACGCCGAAAATTTCGATTGGCCAAATCAAGGAACCCATTGGAAAGTTGAGGAAATATATATATTAAAAATTAATTAACCCTTTGCCAACGAAACGGCGCGCATTACTATAAACTTAATTAAGAGCAACTTTCTGTAAATAACGCGTGAATTCGTGTTCAAGATGGAAAAAATCGAAATTGTCCAAACATTGTCACAATATAAAAGCCCTTGGACACTACTTTAAAAAATACGTTCGTATTTATATTTCCCATTTAAATCAACATTTTTTAATTTTCACTCATGGAGGAGGCCTCCAACGACCGGAATATGTGCTAAGTCATGATTTAATGACTTCCTTTCCATTTGTCAGCAATGTTTTCATTAATTTCACAATTACCACCAAAATTAACATTACGGCAAAAATCTCTACCTGGTACATGGCTTTCGTTGTTAAGATGGCATTCAAAAAACACATCGTTCGTATTGTTCTAGGAAATACAATCAGGGCAGTTGAAATTAAGAGTTTTGATACCTGTAGACAAAAACATTTACGGCACTCGCTCGAATTTTATGGCCTTTGAATTCACAGTTTGCATTGATAAAATATAATAAAGATAATTTGAATGATAGTTGAAAGTTTATCCGTGGCATTTTAAATACAACTCGTTCCCCACAGTACTACGTCTTGCTTGTTAATTGGCTTTTTTTTTTTTTCAAAGGAATATTATAAACCAAAAAAATCTATAACGTACATATCCACCAGAAACGGCAAGATGTCAAACTTTTAACCTTAAATATAATATTTTGTACTGAGAATTCGATCAGAATATCCAGGGCGAACGAATTATATTTAATAATTAATGAAATGGTCAACGTCATAATGTTAATGTTGGTTTTCTAACACTGAGAAACGTGTGCAGTTCGAGTAGCTTGTGTCACTGACTGATTAACATATTTCCCAATTCAAACGTTTTTCAGATATAACAATTCAATTTAACTTCATATGATAAAAAATGCACTTCAAGACAAAATCAAACTGATCCAGTCAGCGATCTGTTATGAAGAGCTGTCCTAGCAGACATAAATGGACACCAAAAATAATGCAATATGGAAGATTTATTCTGTGATCTTGACATCTAAGGTAACAATCTAATCAAATTACGAATACTTCACAGTTTCCATTCATTATTGTATCGCCGTCTGATGACATGCACCATTCTTGACTAGGTGGAACTGGTTCTCATTGTTGCGGCAGTGGAGGAAGAGTGGGAGGACCACCATTGCCAGAGGGGAGTGGTGGTAGGGGTGGAGGAGCAGAGCCCCCAGGGAGTGGTGGAAGAGGTGGCAGCACAGAAGGACTGGGTGTCGACAAATTATCACCTCCTTCTCCTCCCCCAATATTACCAGTTAGGAAGTTGACCCATGGTAGATATCTCTTAATGTTTGCGTAGACGCCATACTTCAGAGCCCTGGCGCATCCTTTACCCCAGGATGTAACTCCAACCTGAATCCACTGTCGAGGGTTCACCGGGTTCTTACATACGAGTGGCCCTCCGGAGTCACCTTGACAACTGTCCACACCCCCCTGACGCATCCCTGCGCAGATCATATTCTCAGTGATTTTCTCGCCATATGATTGCTTGTGACGACACGCAGCACGGTCCACTATTGGCACCTTAGCCTGCATGAGTACGGGGGAGGAATTGCCACCCTCCTGAGTAGTACCCCAACCGCTTATCGAGCACTTTGTTCCGGGGGGAAACTGATACTCAGGCTCGGGTAAACAGATCGTGTTTACACGGCTATTGAGCGTGGCAGGTCGGTCAAGGTGTATTAATGCCAAGTCGTTATCGGTTGCGATGTGATCCCATTTTGGATGAATGTAGAGATTTTCAATGGCGAAATCCTGCTCTGTTCCTTCGGTCTTATTCAAGAAGTGCTCCCCTAAAAGTCAAGAACATACAATATTAGCTTATAAGACTGCTCCTGTGAATACTCCCATCTGATTGGTTGAAAACAGGTCAATTTATCCGAAATTATATTTTAATTGTATCGCTCAGAGTTTGGCGGCAAAAAAATATAGCTGCTGTACTACTGTCTCAGCACTCGCAGCTTTGTCAAAACTATCATTGAAAATCTAAAACTGATAACAGTTGACAGTCAACGCACAATGGAAAACATTACGGTATGGTGGTAACTCTCTCTCCTTAAAAAATTGCCCATCTATTTCAAAATATATACAAGTAAAATAGCGCCGCGAGGAACGCCGGCAATATTTTCACTCATGAAAAAAAAAGTCGATTCAGAAGTTTGTATTTACGGCAACCGCATCGTAAAAAGGAAATATGTTTTTGTTCTCGAAACAATTTGGGATTAATTGTACTTGTGATCTCGATCATCCTCTCTTGGCTTAAGATATTTATATTTCTGAAAATGTTTTGCTTGATGGCCATATGATAGCAGTATATTAGCAGACTAC